TCCGCTCCTTTCCCCTCACTTCCTCTCCTTTTCCCTCTTTCCTCTTATTTGCTCTCTCACTTCCTTTCATTTGCCCTCTCTTTTCCTCTCCTTCCCCTCCTTTCCTCTTATTTCTCTTTTCTTCTCATTTCCTCTTCTTTGTCCTCTCACTTCCTTTCATTTGCCCTCTTGCTTCCCCTCACTTCCTTTCATTTCCTCTCTTTTCCTCTCATTTCCTCTTATTTGCACTCTTACTTCCTCTCATTTCCTCTTATTTCCCCTCTCTTTTCCTCCCTTTTCCTCTTCCTCTGCCCTCTCACTTCCTTTCATTTGCCCTCTCTTTTCCTCTTATTTGCACTCTCACTTTATTTTGTTTGCCCTTTTGATTCCTCTCGTGTCCTCCCTTTTCCTCTCTATTCCTCTTATTTGCCCTCTCACTTCCTTTCATTTCCTCTTTTCCTCTCATTTCCTCTTATTTCCCCTTTCTTTTCCTCTTCCTCTGCCCTCTCACTTCCTCTCATTTGCCCCCTCTTTTCCCCTCATTTCTTCTTATTTGCCCTCTCACTTCCTTTCCTTTGCCCTCTCTTTTCCTCTCTTTTGCCCTCATTTTCTCTTTTTGGCCTTTCACTTCGTATCATTTTTCCACTTTTCCTCTGCTTTGATATCTCAATTCCTTTCCTTTCCCCTCACTTTTCCTCTCACTTCCTCTCATTTCCGATTTGCCCTTTCATTTGCCCTCTCACTTCCTTTCCTTTCCCCTCTCTATTCCTCTTATTTGCCCTCTCACTTCCTTTCATTTCCTCTCTCTTTTCCTCTCATTTCCTCTTATTTCCCCTCTCTTCCTCTTATTTCCCCTCTCTTTTCCTCTTATTTCCCCTCTCTTTTCCTCTTCCTCTGCCCTCTCACTTCCTCTCATTTGCCCCCTCTTTTCCCCTCATTTCCTCTTCTTTGCCCTCTCACTTCCTTTCCTTTCCCCTCTCTTTTCCTCTCGTTTTCCCTCATTGTCTCTTTGTGGCCTTTCACTTCCTTTCATTTTTCCACTTTTCCTCTTCTTTGTTTTCTCATTTCCGTTCCTTTCCCCTCTCTTTTCCTCTCACTTCCTCTCATTTCCTATTTGCCCTTTCATTTGCCCTCTCACTTCCTTTCCTTTCCCCTCTCTATTCCTCTTATTTGCCCTCTCACTTCCTTTCATTTCCTCTTATTTCCCCTCTCTTTTCCTCTTATTTCCCCTCTCTTTTCCTCTTCCTCTGCCCTCTCACTTCCTCTCATTTGCCCCCTCTTTTCCCCTCATTTCCTCTTCTTTGCCCTCTCACTTCCTTTCCTTTCCCTCTCTTTTCCTCTCGTTTTCCCTCATTTTCTCTTTTTGGCCTTTCACTTCCTTTCATTTTTCCTCTTTTCCTCTTCTTTGTTTTCTCACTTCCTTTCCCCTCTCATTTCCTATTTGCCCTTTCATTTGCCCTCTCACTTCCTTTCCTATCCCCTCTCTTTTCCTCTTGTTTGCCCTCTCACTTCCTTTCATTTCCTCTCTCTTTTCCTCTCATTTCCTCTTATTTCCCCTCTCTTTTCCTCTTATTTCCCCTCTCTTTCCCTCTTATTTCCCCTCTTTTCCTCTTCCTCTGCCCTTTCACTTCCTCTCATTTGCCCCCTCTTTTCCCCTCATTTCCTCTTATTTGCCCTCTCACTTCCTTTCCTTTGTCCTCTCTTTTCCTCTCGTTTTCCCTCATTTTCTCTTTTTTGCCTTTCACTTCCTTTCATTTTTCCTCTTTTCCTCTTCTTTGTTTTCTCACTTCCTTTCCCCTCTCTTTTCCTCTCGTTTTCCCTCGTTTTCTCTTTTTTTGCCTTTCACTTCCTTTCATTTTTCCTCTTTTCCTCTTCTTTGTTTTCTCACTTCCTTTCCTTTCCCCTCTCTTTCCTCTCACTTCCTCTCATTTCCTATTTGCCCTTTCATTTGCCCTCTCACTTCCTTTCCTTTCCCCTCTCGTTTCCTCTTGTTTGCACTCTCACTTCCTTTCCTTTCCCCTCTCTTTTCCTCTCGTTTTCCCTCATTTTCTCTTTTTTGCCTTTCCCTTCCTTTCATTTTTCCTCTTCTTTGTTTTCTCACTTCCTTTCCTTTCCCCTCTCTTTTCCTCTCACTTCCTCTCATTTCCTATTTGCCCTTTCACTTCCTTTCCTTTTCCCTCTCTTTTCCTCTCACTTCCTCTCATTTCCGATTTGCCCTTTCATTTCCCCTCTCACTTCCTTTCCTTTCCCCTCTCTTTTCCTCTCACTTCCTCTCATTTCCGATTTGCCCTTTCATTTGCCCTCTCACTTCCTTTCCCCTCTCGTTTCCTCTTCTTTGCACTCTCACGTCCTTTTCTTTGCCCTCTCCTGTTTTTTCCTTGATGGATTGAACGATTGATCGACCGACCGATTGATTGATTGATTGATTGATTGACGGCCGCCGTTTCCTCCCTTCCAGACCCGGATGCAGGAACTCCACCGCTTGTGGGAACTCCTCCTGGAAAAGACCCGGGAAAAGGGG